TTAAATATACTTGCTTTTGAATTACTTAAATACATAATTTCTTAAAAATTAATTTAAATGTAAAATTTACTGGTTGATGAATTCATCAAAAGAATATTATACATGATCTCAGTAATTTATAAATGTTAATTATTTGATGTATGTAAAATTCACGTGGTTCTATAAGTTAATCAGTAATTAAGATTGTTAGTTGGTTTTTAGAGAAGATATAATGATTATCTCATTAATTCTATATACTTTTAAGGGATATAATACTTATTGATGATAAATGTATCTTTTCAGTCTTTTATACTATCTAATACTTTTAATATCAATTTAATAATAATAATCAAAGATGATTGGTATGTTACTTTCAATATTAAAAATCATCCAATCTAATTTTTTGACTTAATTAACCTTATTTTTTAAATATATTCTAGATGTATCTTTTTTTCTTATCTTTTGTTAACTAATATTACAAAATTATTAAATATGTTGTATAGTATCCTAAATCTATTATAAAAGAATATTGTGTTAATTAAGTTTTCTTTATTTAATTATTCACTTACTGTCTTCTGTTTAGATTGTTGATTTAATGTAGTATAATTTATAATCTAATCTCTATAAATATTAATTGATAACATTTTTTTTGATATTTAAATAAATAATGCCTACGCTAAACTGACAATATATTTTAGCAATATTTAAATAAATGTAGGGTATATAAAACAGAAATGGAAAAAATTTAGAAAAATAAGAACGTACCTAAATTTCAAAGTGAAGATTAATAGTCAAACTAATCATGACAAAATTAAAAAAAAAATATTCGATATTGATTGAAATTATAAGTTTTGCTTGATAATGATTTAAATCATTTTTTCTATAAGTTTTCTAAAAAATAACTTCCTTTCGATTTAAATAAAGGTTTTAAATCTTTTCCTTAATGGTTTATGAATTCTCCTTATAAGATAAGTGTACTCGATGCTTCTAATAAAGGATTTTTACCAATTCTAATTATTGTATGATCATTGTTAACTAAATAATAAATAGCATTTGGTAATAATGAGCTATTCTAAAATGGTAGTTTAAGCTAGGTAAGAATATCTTTATATTTTTTTTCGGTGGATGAAATTTCTTTTCCATTCTTAAAATCCCAAAGACGGATAGACTTATCTCTACGACTAAAAGCTAATGTACTTCCATCAGGAGAGAAACAGACTGAGTAGACATAATGAGTATAATCATCTAATTTGGCTTTTTATTATCTTGTTTTGACATCCCATAG